TCAACAGCACCTAATTTTTCAGAGAAACATGTATTTCCCTCATATGTAGATTTCATATGTAGATATTTGTTCTACTAAAATTTTTTGCTTCTTAATAATACTAATCTAGAAAAGAAACGAAATAATGACTTCAGCAATTTTATAGAACATTTATACATAGCGTTTCATGACTACAATAATTGACATAAGAACTTATGACATAATTTCAGAAAAATCTATATGTGTTCAGTTGCACTAAATTTTAATAAAATTAATGTACATTCTAAGTAATTTTTAACGATGGATCTTTCTTTTAAATTGACTCGAGCACGAAACATGCGCAAAGCAGATCGTTACGATTTTTGTTGACTAATCATCGTAGAATTGACGCGTCGTTACTATACCATTAGATCAGTTCGAATAATCACGCACAGTACGTTGGGCAGTATTGGATCGTCCGAAGCACGCGATTGCTTCTTCGGACGTCCTGTTAAATATTTAAATGCCAATGCGGAAACAAGCTTATTTCAAGACGGAAGATTGTTTTAGACGAGATTTATAAGATTTTCCATCTGCCGTGAGCTCGCGTGACTTCCTTTGTGAATCCGGTCCTTTGGCATGGAGGAGGAAGCTGTCGCGCGTTCCATAAATCCTTTATCGATTATAGCTTTAGACACAAGCACAATCGTTAATCTAACTCGTTTAAATAATGGACGTCTTAGTATGACAGGAAATAAAGTGTATAATGCGGTCATTTGTCTGCGAGTTGCACGTAAGTAAAACACGCATGGGAGAGTAAAACGTGGTCTCCTACTCGGCATTGAAACTAAGGCAGTTTTATGAATGAGAAAAGGAAAACATTCGTCTCCATGTTTCACAGTTACCTACTTTAATTTCTATTCCGCAAGAACGTATATTGAATAATTAGAAGAAAATAATTAATGCGATAATAAATGGACAATTGTGACAATTTATATTAAAATTATTAATGTAATAGTAGAGATTAAAATTTTATTTCACATCTACAAAATTTTAACTAAAAAAAATGAAATTATATAGTTAGAAAATAAAATAATAATCATTATAAAAATTATTATTTTATTTTATTTTATTTTATTTTATTTTATTTTCAAAATAGTTTTATTAATTCTATTTTATTCTGTATTTCAACAATAATATTTATCTATTATTGTGAAATACAGAATAATATAAAATTAATAAAATTATTGAATTGTATATCAAAGCTAGATTAGTTTATTTAAC